CCAAATTTTTAAAAATTTAATTCTATTTCAATAATAAATAGCCAATTTGAGTTTTTATTTTGATACAATGTAGATAAGACAAAAGATTTCATACAAAAATTAAAACAATATTTTATGTAATATGTTATGTACTGTCTGTTGTACACTGCCAATAGTGCACATACAACATTAATATATACTAATGTTATTCTTATTTGTAAAGTATTTACTTATAAAGATGTACAAAATTGTTCCAAATAAATTTTCGATATATGTATTTATGAACACCATGAATGATCCAATTCACATTTGCCTTGGTACCATCTAACAAGTAATTGGTTTCTTAATGTATAATCTTTCAATACCATATCTTTTGTCTGAAAGTAATAATTAACATTTATTTAATGTACATTAAAGAAAAGTACTATTAAGATAAATGCCACTTACTATAGCTGGTGGAAAGATTCTTTGAAAATCCATTTTATTTTGATGTTCCAGGTAACTTTGAGATAAAATAAGTTTAGTTTCAGGTGTAAAACATGGACTACACAGCTGACATTCTACACGAAAACAATCATTACACTCCATGCAAAGTTCTGGTAGAACCACTAAATTCTTCTCAGCTACTTCCATTTCTTCTTCCATCTTATTTCTGAAATATAAATTTGATTCAAGCTTATTGTGACAGTACTTCTGAATATTTTTAAATTAATTGTAATATTAGTTTTATGTGACCTTATTTTTAAAGAATCTTTCCTGATTCTTTGTCCAATGCCAACTAACGAAAATAAATTATATATAACTTGTTCGTACAATAATTGGTTCGGTGCATAATGTGCTGAAGATAAATTCGGAGACATATTTGCCTCCATGATATAAACATTTAAATCATCATCGAGAGCAAAATCAATTCTAACTAATTCGAAAAAATTTCTTCCATTTTCGAAACGTTTTACAGCTTCTTTAATGTAACCCTCTTTCAATAAGGTAATTTCTCTGATTGCTTGGTGAACACCATTCCATACTTTTTCAGGATCCTTTCCTTGCGAACGTACGTGTGCATCGAATGAATCTTTCATTGAAAATTTCAATGTAGTGTAATAATGTTTCAAAGATGGAACATTCCAAATTGGCAAATAATCATCACCGACGACATATTTATCTAAAACTTCAGAATCGAACGGATAATATTTTACAGGGCAAAACCTGAAGAGGACATCACCTTTGTATACATATACTCTAAGGGGATTGATGGATGTAATCACAGTATAAACACCAATATCAAATTTATATCCATCTACAAGAAATGGTCGTTGTATAAATTCTTGTACAAAAGATCCAGCTGTTGTAACATTTATATCGTTCACATTTTTTATACTAATACCCCGATGTTCGTTCGATTTTTGCACGAACATCTTTTCAGGATGTTTGTTAGCGTATTCTAAAAATTCATCGCGTTGTTCCGGTATCTTAAATGCAGCTAAAGTGTAGTGCCCCTCCGTTATTGATAAATCTACTTTATTAGTAATATATCCACAACCGGGGAAATGATTAACGCGTTGATGAGTTTTTAATTTACTTAAGCTAGAATTTAAAGTTCTAAACGGATAATCATGTGCCCACAGTAAGTCCCAATTAAATTTGTTATGAGTCTGCTTGAAGCCTAAACGTTCTAATACAATAAATACATGTTTTAAATAATCGGTATCATTATTTTTCGTGTATATACTATACAATGGATTTTTCTCTTTTAAGTTTTCTCCGTTAAACCCCGTTAAGTATTCTTGGTAGTATAGAAAAGAAAAAAACAAGTAATATAAAAATACTGGGCCCACTACGGAATATAAAAAAATTTTTAGAAGTGTTTTCACCTTCAAATTCATCATATGAGTATAGATTGTACAATCAGCATTCTGTAAAAACAGAATAAGTTATTATACCACCGGTTCTGAATTATCGGAAAATTTTTAATAGAAATCTAAATAATTACATGTATAAAAAAAAGTTACAAACTTTTTGATCTTTTTTGTCCTGTTTCTTCTTATCTGACATGATTGAACGTATGATTCCAATATCATTTGCCCAGTGAATCCATGAAGGAACACAATGTATTTGTGTTCAAAGAATTAGGTGCAACTGATCAAAGTACCGTTGTAACTTTCCCCGCTATACTATTTGTTTCACAATGAGAACGTACTTTCAAGAACCAGTTTCCACTTGTAGATAGTATATTATGCCCTATTGTTTTAAATACTGCAAATAATTTTTTGTAAGCAATTTAGAATAAAACAAAATTCAAAAATAATTTTTCTACAATAAAAAAATGATTCAATTTACAATTATTTTTTATAATATAAGTGGTGCATATTTTTTATGTTTTGTATATTAATATACATTATGTATTATGACATTAAATATATTTGACGAATATATATTTCTTCTAGTAGAATGAGATATTTATATTTGAAAATATTTAAAATCTGGCGGAAATCGTTTAGAGTACGCTATTGTGCGCAGTGTTGTGGTACTAACTAATGGCGTTTCCTGTCTTTTGCGTTCTTGAATTGGTATTGTAAGCATCTGTGTAACGAAGAAATGGGTTTTCAAAATATTTGGTACTCGCATCCGCGAAAATATGGACAAGGATCTAGATCTTGGTTTGTATTACTATTGTATATTCTATTATATCATAGTTAAATGTATTTATATCATCAAATTACATAGATATTATTTGACCACGTGTTAACGTTTATGTTTTTGTTATCTGAAAATATTTCTACAATATTTTATATAAATTATCTTAATCAATTTAGGAATACGCATTGTCGTATTATCGTTGTAGAAAATAAGATATAACATATGCTAACTAGACAAAATATTTTCTACATTTTCCAATTATAACCTCAATGTTACATATTATTACACATGTTAACGTGTTCTTGAGTTATAGTTTAATTTTTGGCATTACATTGAATCAAATTACATTATTTTACAGTCGTGCGTGCGCAAATAGGCATGGATTAATTCGCAAATATGGTTTAAATATTTGTCGACAATGCTTTAGAGAATATGCTGCTGACATTGGTTTCAAAAAGGTACAGTATTTTAGTTTTATATGTTTATAAATACATATTTATTCTCTATTGTTTTAAAGCATGTTCATGACATACATAATCATTAATTATTATCTTTATATCGATTTTTTTCTGTTTTTAGTTGGATTGATGCTGTGACAGACATTCTTATAATTCCTCAAAATACCAAATGTAAAATCCACGTGACCATAGACACAATATAAAAATTCATAACTAACTTGATGTCAATTTCTGTTGACAATGAAATTATTTGAATATGTTTTGGAAGAATTATGAAAATTGAATTGTATTTGATACAACCATGGATTAAAAATAAAAACATAGGATTTGGTTATTAATTTTATGTTTATATAATTCTTTATTGAATAAAACTATTTAACTTTTTAATTTAAAGATTTTTTGTTTGTTTAGTAATATACATGCAGAAAGTTAGTTGACCGAGTGTCACTGAGCTGCATCTCGGCGATTAAGGTAATATTGCCAACTGATTTTATTAGTCGGCCAACTGTTGGTTGCTATGCAAACAAAATTTAAGTATAGTCTGCACAGAAAAGATGACGATCGGGCCGGCACAGGGGCAAGGAAATTAATCTGCTCTCCCCACATTTGACGCTCACTGTCACGCAACGGATTAGTCGATGTAACCGTTTTGGCCAATAGTAAAAGTACGTGCGATTTGACTTTACGAGCGTTCCGCTACAACCAATGAGACCCGCATTCCTTCCACTGATCATCTTTTCAGTGTAGGACAGTACTTACCCTGAAAAACTTCGGCAACTGTCGGTCGATTGTATTGTATTCTCTATGAACCTTAAAGATGGCGTATATACCAAATTACATTTGGGGGACTGCTGTAGCAGTAAGTCGTAGACGTTTTGTATGAAAAAATTTTGTTCCTTAATTTGAATACATGATTGATTCTATATTAATGACAAAATTATAACAATAGTAGTGGTTAAATTCTAACCTAACATATGTAGTTACAAAATATTGACTCATAAGCTGTATGGTTCATAAACAGAAATATTATTACATTTATATAAATGTCATTTTTATTTGTACATTGTTAATTTATTGAATATTCGTATTATATTGTTACAATAATTGGTAAGTTAGTCAGTAATGGGTACTTCTAAAAATGATAGTTAATAGAAGTTAGCAAGAAAACGTATAAAAAAAATTAAATGAAAAATATCAATCTAAAATTTGTTATATGTATTTTTT